CAACCGATTTCAACAAAACTTCACTTTTTTTTTGCAGGTAGTGTTTCTTACTGTCTTGCACACTTTTTTCTTTATTTTTACATTCAGAATGCTTTAAAAATTCCATTTTCAAGACAATTGTTTATAATAAAATTCTATTCAATCGAGAGACTCATAACGATTGAAAACAATGTTTTTGTTTGAGTTTGGGTTTGACCAATTCGTAAAAAAAATGCTAGTCAATAATAAATAATGAGTAAAAGTGAACAAACCACACTATAAAATAGTCGCATTCGGATTCAGAAGTCTTTCTATCTATAGAGAGTAAGTTGAAACATAACCGTCAGAATAATACAATAGATTTTACTATCCAGAATGCACCATTGACCAGCCTATATAAATAGTCAAGGTCGAAGATGGCGTTCAAACATGGAACTGTTGAGGCTTGATGTTGATCTCAGTGTCCACGTTTGCATTTACATACGCTCTATGTCTGATATCGAGCACATTTAACCATATATCTATCATGACTTAAGAGTATATATATATATATATATATATATATATATATATATATATTCGGTACGGATTGAGGAATTGGTGAGCCGAGTTAGGAACTTCAGTCGAATTCATTGCATTCACTTACGTGATAAAAATATTAATCCTCTTCTTCTCTCTTCAGCTATGGGTAAATAGCAGGACAGACTGGGTTCTATAGCCTTGGATGGCTACTGGTCTAGGAGAAGGACAACTCTGAATTCAAAACCTGCGGAGGGTCATTTGGGGACCTTGTGGCATGTAGTGCACTAGGTTTCTGTATTTGGACCTTCAAAAAAGTGTAATTGGTTCAGCACAAATCCTTCACCATTATAATCAAATCATATGTGCTGGTATCTGGGCTGTCGGTTCCTAGGAATTTTATGATTGTATATATATATATATATATATATATATATATATATATATATATATATATATATAATCATAAAATTTCTCAGATGAAATACGATGTAAATGAATTTGAAAACCCGTATGGTTAAATATTTTCTTCTAGACATTTAAAACACTGATATTGGTGCTTATTTATTTCTCAGTCGAATCTTAAACTGTTCAATCTGTTATAGAAAAGCTACATGAGAGAAAGTAATTTTTTATTCAGGTTCTACATTGAAACTACTGTCGTCTGAGATGGAAATATTACTGTTGATTGAACCTTGATTAAGACGCTTTTTAAATAACACCTACACAGCTTGTCTCGATGTCTATCAGGCGTTCAAATCAATTTGACAAGGATCAGTCGCGCGTTTTGTCAGTCTGTGAAGGTATAGAATTTAATTAATTTTGCCGGGTTATTCGATACCGGATGTTAAGTCAAAATAATCGATCGATAGGTAAGTTAATGACGACCTTTTACTTCGTTTATTTTGGGAGATACAGCTTTTCATTGGCTGGAATTCATTCTCAAGATTCTTTATCAAAATGACTTCTGAAATATTTGAACAAAATCGTCGGGCAACATATTTAAATCTCAGTCAGTTATATGCCATGCGTGATACACGCTTAGGCGATCATGTATCTTTCGATACATGACTGACGAGGCAGATTTTTCCCTTACTAGGTTGCTATTTCTTTCTGCGGTAGACCAGTTGCCATACAAGGCTATAGAACCCGGTCTGTCCTGCTATTTACCCATAGCTGGGGGAGAAGAGGAGAATTCATACTTAGAAAAAGAAAGAAAAAATTCAAATCACTATTCAAACAAGAATTAAGACCTTCTCAGTCATAAAAGTGTATATACTTTTTTTTTTTACCGAAAGTGTCTTTTTTCATATACGGACGAATAAACACGTCCCAAACATAACGTTCATAAAAAAACACCTACAAACGGTGTCGATCTTGATTCTTTTTATTGTTCTCTGAGCTTGAAACGAATCCAGTTGTCAACTCATCCGTCTGGGACATGTGTTAGTCACCGATCTGGTACATCAATGTGCCTTAGTTTCTTACTTACTATATTAAAAACAAATAAAAAATTCGTTTGTAATTGCAATTTTTTTTCCCAAAATAATTGGCGGGAAAGGAGTTTAAAAAAATTCTAGATTCCTCTGAGAGACTTTCAAAAGAATCCTGGTTTTGACTTTCCAGTTAAGTTAATTCTCAGAATGTACATTCTGCCAACTTATTTGGAGGGTTGATCTTCGGCCCTCAGGACTCTTTTGACCGTATTCTAATTTTATTTTGGGACATTTTAGAGTAGGGACTTATCAGAAATAAAGTAATACGTATTAACTAAAGCCTTGACAGTATCTGCAGATTCTTTCAAGATTATCTCCCTACTATATTAAACAAAAATCTTTATTCTAACAAAAAATATTTAACTTACATGTAAATATCAGAATCGAATGAAAATATATTTAATGCGATGCACGACTTTAATCTGTGTATAAGACAGAAAATTTTATTTTTTCGACTAATGACCAAATTGATCTACATCTGTATCGATAATGTCTGTCAGTTAATTAAGACACAACTTTGATGACCTCCAATTTAATAAAGTTTCTTAAATTCATTGCAAGTAAACAACACTTCTTAGCAGACTAAAAGAAGTTTCTCTTTTTTTATCAGACTTTCGAAGATTATTAACGAAGAATATTTTCTTATTGTTATGATAAACATTACAAAGAAATGTTTAAATATTTTTGTTCATACCATTCAAGGCAAAAAGAAGTATCTTACAATTCCAATGCGTTAATTGATGTTGACATTTTTCTTACGGAAGTGTTTAATTAACTTTCATATAATAACACTAAATATTTATTTGCCTATACATTCTCTCTCTCTCTCTCTCTCTCTCTCTCTCTCTCTCTCACACACACACACACACACACACACACACACACACACACACACACATATATATATATATAATGTCAAGAACAATATTGGGGGAAAATGTATGACAAAGTGAAAAATCTATTCTTGTGACGCGTTTCGTCCTTCAGAACTTCAGCGGACTAAATTTGTAATTTTGGTGCGACTACGCATGCGCACGAACGAGAACTGAGATATCTACTAAAAAAAAGTGATGGAAGGAAAAAGAAAAAGAATCTAAAAGAAATTGGCTAGATTAAAAAAACAAAACAATTCCCAGCATCCCTCGTTCGTGCATATGTGTAGTCGCATCAACATAAATCTAGTCTGATGAAGCCCTAAAGAACAAAACGTGTTACAAGAAAAAGAAACTAAATTAAATCGGCTCGATAAAAAATGTAATTTTAAATTCCCAGCATCTCTTGTTCGTGTGTATGTATATATATATATGTATAGAGATAGATAGATAGATAGATAGATAGATAGATAGATAGATAGATAGATAGATAGATTAGTGGACAGTGAGGTCAACGCCCAGCGGCAACAGTCTGTTTTATGCTTAAACGGAATCGTCAGGCCACGTGCGTTGTGTTATATATGCTGGTCAGTGGTGCATTATTGGTAGGTCTATAAGATTCTTCTAACAGTTATTCAGGTGGGCAGTAACAGTTATGTTTTGGATTATACTAGGACCTATTAGTGGAAATAATTGTGGATCCGAATGCAAAGATGAGGACAATAGTCCGACTAATGTAAATACTGTACATAATACCTCATCTCAGAAATATAGACAGACATATTTATGTCTTTGTTATTTCCCTTCCTTATAAATATATATATATATATATATATATATATATATGTATGTATGTATTTATATATGGGGACTTCATTAAAATGACTGACTAGATTAAGTTTTACCTTTTTCTTCTCTGCGAACAAGAATTTTAGGGGCGGAAAATGTTACCTTTTTTCTTTTGAGGATTTAAAGAATACGGAACTTCTGGAACCCCCCCCCCTCACAGAAGACAAAGAGACTTGAAGCAGCAGAAACTAATCTTCGTCGTTGATCACATGTTCGGTCTATGGTATTCTCAACAGTCTTCTGTAAAACTATATTTCAGTTACTTCAAATCCCTTCTTTATCTGTGAGGAGATTGTCCAGCATTTATTGCCACATGGGGGGGGGACTGATATGACGTAACAGTTCAGTACCCTTTTCTTTATTACTAACGAAAATTTCCTGTTTCCTAATACTTTGCTTAGCTTTTAAAGACATTTGTCGCTATCCCAATGCTTCTTCGGCTTTTGGTGTCGTAATTTCTGTCCTTTGGTAAAACAAATCACACATTTACTGTTGTGTGAACTACTGCACGGTATTAACGTTTTGAAATAAGCGAAAAATGTTACAAATGGTGTAAAAATGACATTAAAACTGTCTAAACTTGACTAATGCAAACTCATTACACTAGTAGAATGTTTGAAATAGTAGTCAGTCAACACTTCTCGTTTAGCAACCAGATCGTTAGAACTAAACGTGGTCGTTAAGTGAGGAGTTGTATTTAACTTTCATTTGTACAAAATTGCGTATATAAGTAGATTTGTCGATTAGAAACTCACATTTCCTTACTAGCACTTGAATTAAAACCACAAAATTTTTGGCTAGAAACTTGTTGCGCTAAATATGTCGGTTCAAAAGTTTTACAAATAAATATATTTCTGTTAATTATAATGGTTACAAACTTAAATATGTAAATGTATATAAAATTAAAATTAGATAGATAGATAGATAGATAGATAGATAGATAGATAGATAGATAGATATGAACAGACAGGAAGATATGAAGAGGTTGATATACATAGAAAGATAGAGAGAGGGTGAATGGACAGATTAGACACAGAGAGATGAACATACTAAAATAGATAAACATACTAAGATAGATAGATAGATAGATAGATAGATAGATAGATAGATAGATAGATAAACACACGGAGATAGATAGATAGATAGATACATAGATACATAGATAGATAGATAGATATGAACAGACAGGAAGATATGAAGAGGTTGATATACATAGAAAGATAGAGAGAGGGTGAATGGACAGATTAGACACAGAGAGATGAACATACTAAAATAGATAAACATACTAAGGTAGATAGATAGATAGATAGATAGATAGATAGATAAACACACGGAGATAGATAGATAGATAGATAGATAGATAGATAGATAGATAGATAGATACATAGATACATAGATAGATAGATAGATATGAACAGACAGGAAGATATGAAGATGTTGATATAGATAGCAAGAGGGTGAATGGACAAATTAGACACACAGAGATGAACATACTAAAATAGATAAACATACTAAGATAGATAGATGGATATAAACATACTAGATAGATAGATAGATAGATAGATAGATAGATAGATAGATAGATAGATAGATAGATCATGCGCACAAGAGAGTCTTTGTTACTAAGCATTGATGGTTGAATGTATAAAGAAAGACGCCTGAATAATGACTAAAATGGAAAGGAGAAATAATTAAACCACAGCACAAGTCATTAAAGCATCCGTCTTGAAAAGTCAGTCGTTCCACTTAACAAGTGGCTTCGTTTCTCATCCGGGTGACCATCAGTGGTCATTATTCCATGTTTTGTCGGCCAGCCGTAATCCTTGCAAAGAACCCCAGAAGCGATTAGGAAATCAATCAAATAATTGCAGGAGACAAGATTTGATTTCAGGTACTATCAGTCCAGGATCACTTTCTGGTGAATTGGGTCAATCGGGGATCTGATGTACGTCGTTGACAGGGCTGAGTTGGAAGTGGCGATATTTTCGCGTCAGTGGGGATCGATAAATGATTGGATAAGAAGTAAAGAGAGGGTACAGAAAAGGACGTTGCTGATTTTAGAGTGAATAAACATTTTATAATGATATGAGGGAAAGCGAAAAACGCAATCAAAAAAGTACAAGAGCAAAAGACAGAAAGGGAAAGAAAAAAAAAAGAGGAAAGTGAAGAAAGAAAAAGTAACTGAATAAGCAATAAAGATTTGTTTTTTACGGCTTATCAACCTTTTGCATGTTATTTAAAATTTATCCTTGTAAGAACGTTTGGGAGATAATAATGATTTACTGATACAAATTCTACTATTTAACCCATCACTGGGGGGAGAAGTGGATTCCTACCTTTCCTGAGAGTGAATATAACGAATCCAACTGGAATTGGAACTCTGCTCTCCGATTTCCACTTCTGAGCCGCATATTAAAGCTTAGGTATGAAGAGACAGGAAGAGATGAAGAGGTTGATATAGATAGCAAGATAGAGAGAGGGTGAATGGACAGATTAGACACAGAGAGATGAACATACTAAAATAGATAAACATAGTAAGATAGATAGATATAAACATACTAGATAGATAGATAGATAGATAGATAGATAGATAGATAGATAGATAGATCATGGGCACAAGAAATTGGATGAGTTGGAAATTCGTTGAAATGAAAAGTATTCCCAAACAGTCATCCCTCTATGTATTGACCAGGCTTCACGTTGCTTAACATCGGTTATCGTACGAGCACCGGTGTTTCAACGTGATATAAACGTAAGCCAAGCAAGAAAGAAAGAAAACTTGTAAATAATTAGTTAATGACTACGAAAAACACATGACTAATTGTCTCATACATAAAATAAAAGTTTATTTATTTGCGGATATTGTCAGTTAATATTGTCATGAGACTTTCTTCGAACGAGGATCTTCTCGAGAGGATGTGAGAGACTGTCTGACTTTTCCCTCTCGAGCGGGGTTATTATATAACTCACTGTCATCTGGTTGTTCCACATGCGTTAATCTTAAGCGCAACCGGGTCGACCACCTGTTTATATGTCCGAGATAACCACTGACATCCTTTGAAGCACAAATCTGCGCCTCACTGTTATCATAAAATTTCCAGATGTCACCTGTGTCTTCTGTTGCTCTGGTGTAACAAAGTGTTATGGTCCGGTTCCTTGTACCACGGTGATAGTCCAAGGTAGAACCAATAAAGAAGAACTCGAACACAGGTATGGAATAACACAGATATATTACAAACAGGAATATGTACAGAGATAGAAAGTGTTAGTACGAACAATCAGGTTTAGTAGTAATTGTCTGTACGCGACTCAGTTTCGGACTGCCTCTGACTCGACTGACTGACTCACTCGCTCTGACTGACTGACGGACTTCACTCCAGACTTCAGACTGAACAGTATTTAGTCACCCCCACCCACGAGGGCATCATGTGGCACAAGGCCGGTTTAACGTGGGATCTCCGAGCCCGTGGGCTCGGCCAAAAATATGCCCTTTGAACCCGTATAAACAGGTTCAGGGTCGGTTTACCTCCCCGAAAGAGACTCCGCCCTTCGGTGTAGCCTTGTTCGGGTTCCTCCCCGCCCGAAAGCAGAGAGTTAAACCGATCAGCCGGTCAGCCGGTCGTCCGACTTCAGACTGAACTCCCTGCTTCCTCTTGAGGCGCAGTATTTATTACGTATGGAATAGTCCATCAAAGTCGATGTTTGCATCTCGTAGGCTAAGTTATTACATATTATGGTTAAAAGAGATCAGTTTTTAGGACAAAGGTTCTTTATTGGCATTGAATTCGATTCGGGCCATCTAGCAATTCCTGGTGAGAATCCCATACGGCAAACAGTTGAAATGAAAAATATGGTTTTGAAATGAGTGTACCATACGCTCACATGAACATAATATGGCACAAAGGTGAGTTTAAGATAGAAGCACTATATATATATGAGACTAGGGATAAAATTTCACTCAAAATTTCCTTATTGGGGTACTTCAGGTACCAGGAATTAATCCTGTCAGTCTTCTTTTGAGAAAATAGGAGAGGAGCTGCCTGGGGTTGGACGATTACCCTGCTTCTGAGAATATTATATTTCTAGGCCAAGTAAATTGAAGATAGAAGCAAACGGAGGGAATAATACGCACCATGTGTTAAATGGCTCAAAAGAAATACTTAAAATACCTAATAGGGCTGGATCAGTGATATGCTTCCAATTGCGCAAATGATTTGGGCTCCGTTATTGAAAACATCGTATGAGCACAAATAAGAAATTTGAAAAATAAAACGAGCATTATCGTCTGATTTGGAGACCTAGAGTGACTATCCCATCCAATGGAGAAAAGGGATGGCTGTAAATAAGAAAAGATTACCTTTTAGATCGTGAAGATTGGTGTACTTCTGTCCCACAGAATGAAGACTAAGAAAACCAAAAATTTTGGGAAAAAATACAAAGACCTTACCGAAAAACGGAACAAATTCTTGAACATAAAGTTTAGAACCGTGCTAATAATAGTTGGCATAATTGAATAAACACAAGAATCGAAATTGGATGAGTTGAAAATTCGTTGAAAAATTGAAACTGACAACAGTCTGCGAGTATATTAAGAAAGGTGCGAGATATTAAAGGAGAATTGCTGTCACTCAAGTTCCAACAATAACCGCAAGACTTCTGGTGCGAACATGAAAATTCATAAAATACTACTATAACTACTTTTGCAGACATGCGTCAGACTCGGAAAAATTATTGAGTCTACTAGAGTAGTTAGCTTATCCTTGTTGCAGACGTCTGCTCAGGCACATTATTATTTCTTCAGTACTAACATATTAAGTGAACGGGATGTGAAAAATAAATTAACAATTAACCACGACTTGTGAATCCGACGGCTTCCAGATAGTTTCCTATGTACAATTCATTTCCCGTGAGTAGGGTTTTAAGGAACTTCCCAATTTGTTGCAATCGCACATGCTTACGGTTACATCACATTCAAAACACCGGTTCCCGTACGATCACCGAAGTTAAGCAACGTCGAGCTTGGTTAGTACCTAGATGGGTGACTGATTTGAAATACCAAGTGTTGTAAGCTTAAATGTATGAGTGGCATAATGGATAATAGCTCGAGAGTTAATTGGAGAACCGAGTTCCAATTCCCGTTGGGTTCGTTATATTGAGTTACGCGCAAATAACATTAGGAAAGATATGAATACACGTCTTTTCCCCCAGATATGGGTTATATAGTAAGACATGTATCAGTAAATCATTATTATCTCAGAAAATTCTAGTTTCAAACTTTAAATAACCTACAAATGGTTGATAAGTCATAGGAAAAGAATCAATGAAAAGCAACCACTCACGAGAAATAAATATGTTGCAATCACACATCCAAGCAAAGAAAATAAACAGAATTGCAAATAAAATGGTATTAAGATCCAAAAACATAACGATACAGATTTTAACAAAAGTTTCACCAGGATTCATCGCCGCCAATTTGGGAACAGACAATGAAATCCTATGTATTCTCTTGTGGAGACGAGATATATAGAGAAAAATAGAAACCCTATTAAAAGGAAATTCAATAAGAACAAACTATATATGGTAAAATAGTAAATGTCGACTCTGCAGAAATAGGGCTGTATTAGTTTGTTCGGAAAAAGTAATGTCCGATTTTAGAATCAACATTTCTTCCTGAATTAATGTATTTAAACAGTGTTTAAATAAGAAACAAGAACATCTGTACATTGCTGCCATCGAGTTGCAAGGTTATTTATGCCTTTACGATAAATCTCTACAGGTTTGGATACCAAGCAATCTTTGAATACAGTTTCTACAAGTTATTTACAACGGAATGTCCCTTGGCTTAAATAAATATCAATAGACTTGGAAAAGTGTTAGTCAGATAATTACACCAGTAAATTAATTCATGAATAAAAGAACACCCTTCAAAATGACGGATGAAGAAACAATTAATCTTTTGAGTGTTTAGGAAATGGCCGAGTGTAAATCCGATTGAAAATTTGTGGCGGTAATTAAAGATTAAGATTGGAAACCATTTAATCCTAGAAATCTGAAGAAAATATCCGAAAAAGAGTGATGCAATATTTCTCCTGACATTTTTTAATATCTGACGACGAGCTACGGAACTAAATATTAATGGCTCTTAATACTAAATGTTAATGGAGCTTAATACTAAATATTAATGGTTCTTAATACTAAATATTAATGGTTCTTAATACTAAATATTAATATAGAAAGAAAGAAAGAAAGAAAGAAAAAAAGAAAGAAAGGCAAATATAGAAAACGTAATAATGAATAAAGAAAAGGGAAAAGAAAGAAGGAGGAAATGGAAAAGAAAGAAAATCAATGGAAGAAAGAGGTAAAAAAAGAAAGAGAAAAAGAAAAGAAATAGGGAAGAAAGAAAAATAAAGAAAGGGAGGAAAGGAAGAGGAATCGAGAAGAAAAAGAAAGACAAAAGAGAGAGATGAAGTGAAATGAAACGGAGAAGAAAAAGAAGGGAAAACAGAAATAAGAGATGGAAAAGAAAGAAAGAAAGAAAGAAAGGTAAAAGGAAGACAAGGGCAAACATTAATATGAAAAAATGAAAAATCAAAAGCAGAAAAAGGAAGAAAGAAAGATATTGAATGAAAAAATGAAAAGAATTAGAAAGAAAAGTGAATAGTGTAACTAAAATCAGAAAGAAGAAAAGAAAATATTAAAAGCGAAAAGCAAGAAATTATTTTTGTCGTTTTCCCCATTAAAGGCGAAAAAAGACAAAAGATTGTTTTTTTTTTTAAATTTGAACATGAAAAAAAACAAGTGATTCAAATAAAAAACAAAAATAAATATAAAAACAATTTGCTGAAGAAGAAGAAGAAGAAGAAGAAGAAAAGGGAAATGTATAAGAAAAAGAAGAAATGCAATGATAAATAATGAATCAAATAATATCAATGATAAACTAAAAAGGCATAATAGAAAGTAATTAAGAAAGAAAAAAAGAACAAGAAGAAGAAAGAACTAAAGAAAGAATGAAAGAAAAATAAATGAAGAAACAAATTATAGTGCTTTAACTACATAGAAAGTATTCATTTTAAAAATACTATTGACTAGAAAGCGAAAAAAGGTAGAATTAGAAACTGAAAAACAAGCCATATTGGTAGTCGTATTCGTTTTAGCAGTAGAAGTGGAACTATTACTAAATGTTAATTTCACATAAACGTTTGTGTACAGATGCGTGCAACTCTCTGACGCGTGCAACGATTGGACAAATTGAAAAAAAAGTTTTGAAAGTATTTGACGGTTTTCCTTAACAAAAGATTCCTGGCGTTGATTTGTCGATAGTAACATTTATTTTTGCTTTAGAAATAAATATGTTTGATTTTACGATTTTTTTTTCAAATAAAGCTGAGAATTGAATATCTCTCGATTTTTAAAACTATTTTCCTGGTAATACTGCTATTCAACACATTGTTTCGTTGTTAGTTTTTTTTTTTCTTTCATTTTCTCTCTGAAAAAAATTTCCCCGTGAACAGTGTCATCCTATTTTTGCATTTCAGGGGATTAATCTGAATTTTTAGTTTTATTTTCAGCAAAAAGGTGATTTTTCTGAGTTAAATGACGTGCCAATTTTTTTTTTTCTTCTTCTGGTCATTACTTTATATGAGTTAACAAATCTTGTTCTAAAATCTCATATTTTAACTCACACATTTCGATTTCAAATCAAAAATTTCATATAAACTTAAGAAAAAAAACTGACAATGTTCATACATGATAACCTTTGGAAATTTTTTTTTTTATTCTGTTTTTTTTTTTTTTATTGTACTGATTCAATTGCTATTGTGGTGACTTTCGGGTAACTTTTTGTTGTGTTCGAATTTGATGACCTGCTCGCCTATCTAGGGGCGGGAAGCGAGTATTGCCTGCTTAACTGAAAGCATTCATTTTCTACTCTTAACATAAAACCTTTAATAAGAGATTTTATGTGTTTCTCTCACGAAATTCTTCTGTCATATATAAAATCATATTTTCTGTACAAAAAGAAGTTTCTTTTAAAAGAAATACAGACCGAAATTACTTCTATTAGAAAACAGATTTAGGGGTAGAGAGATGCCAAAGAGAATTTCCCAGGACCCAGATAATTATTTATTTTAACAATTTTTCTTTCAATTTAAGAATAAAAATGAACAATCATTATTAATGATTCATCTGTTATGAATTTTACTTTTTCATAATAATGTAACGACTGTCATTTGTAAACTATCAACGTTTATATAATGGTCATGAAAGCCAAAGAAGAATTGTTTAAATATTTCAAACCATTTATCAGCTGCAAGTATTACAGTATTGAACCACGAGGCGATCCTAAGGGAATTAATAATTCTGACAGGAAATATAAATCATGGACACAATCTTAACAACATAAGATATTGCGTTCGTAGCAGACACAGAAAGAGAACTTCAGGAACTCCGAGACAAGGTATTAAAAGAAAGTGAGAAGAAAGACATCACCATCAATTGTAAGAAGGCGGAATGTCGGGTCGCTAAAAAGAGAGACAATTGAATATAAGTAGAAAAGTTTTACTGTAAAGCGCTACGACAGATGGTAAATTTAGCACAAAAATCATAAGGTACATAGGAATAGGGAAATATGCCTTCCAGAAACTAAACAAAGTATTAAGAAAAAGAAAAAAAATACATTAGAAACAAGAGCTGAATGGAAGTGGCTGATGGATAATTTACTCACACATGAAAAGGAGACTTGAAACAACAGAAATGTGGCTCTACAGGAGGATGCTGAGAATACCAAGGACGGAACATGTGAGCAATGAGGAAGTTTTAAGGAATATGGAAGTAGAAAGAGATTTCTAAGGCGCTTAATGAAGAAAGATGGTTTGGAGAATTCGAAACTCCCAGGATATATTGAAGGTAACCGGGGTGGGGAATGGAAAACAGCGAATGACCTACCTATCAAGATACAGATTAGAATCAACCAAACTGCGCGATGTACTCGGATGTTTAGCTTAACTCGAACTTGTTGCAGACGACGAGTTGAAAGCCACTAGGATGTCACTAGATCCTGGAGCAGTCGTTGCTGTGTTTTCACCAGAGTTCTCTGTTAGCTGAGACGCATTCTATCACTGTATTAAGCTGTTCACCATTGGTGATCCTTCCAGGGACTGATGCCTCTAACAACACAGTTCACACGGATCCGTTTTCATCAGCCCACCATGTTGTAATATAATAAAATAAAACAATAATATTTAAACTTTGTTTAAAATAAATTAAATAAAAAAAGATAATAAAAATAAAAATACTCCCAGCATGCAACAAAAATTGTTCCTGTTGGAAATACGGACATTCGGCCAAAAGACATTAAATTCAATTTCTTCACCATGAACCTTGGTACAGGCAATGTGCGAAACTTCTCTCTGTGATATGACGCGTAATACTACGGAGTAAATTCTCACATTTATCACATGTACGATAGAACAATTGTAACCTAAAAAAATAAACACACCAATACACACAAGAAAAATATAAATAAATTGTATGAAATTAACATACAATTTACCATGTTTTTCCTGTTGTGTATGTTTTATTTTATCTCTGTGAACACGAGGCTTATTTCTGCTGCTATGATGTGACTGACCTTCCACGCACACATACACACTATCCTTGTTTGAGTGAACATCTCTGATTTTTAACCAAATTAATGTCTAACGGACTAGAGATCGAAAGTATTAATAAATAAAATGGACTCAATTAATGGTTGGATTAAAAGGTCAGACTTCAAGACCTGGACCTGTAGAATGGATTGATAGAAATGCCAGCAAATAATATATGTGTAAAAGTTTTGATCGGATTTTAGAATCATCAGATTTTAGAGTGCCCTGCGTGCCTATTGGGCTTTAAATTCAACCCAGACCTCAAATAGAACTCGTATATACGATCCATTGCTAAAGATTCTGGAAAAATAATAGGCTACCTGGTCAGTTCCCTGTACTGCTCCAGTAAGTACCTAATTCCTCCTGCTATCCCTTACCTTTACAAGAGTCAGATTAATCCAAAAATGGAGTACTGCTGCCATATA